AGCATTGATATCATACAAACAACAGAATCGTGAAACGCTGTAAGTTTAAGTAGCATATATCAACCGAATTAACTATTCAATAAAATAATAATAATACCAAATGAAGTCAAAATTAGAAAAGTACTTAGTATATATATATATATATTTATTGTATTATAGAGAACTAAAATCATAAAAACAGAATCATTTATAAACAATATAAGCACTAATAGACAAATATTCAACCAGTTATGTTCAATAGAATAAATCAAACACAAAAAATATTTTTAAATACAACAAGTCATGTAATTGAAACATAAACTTAATTTAATGGAATTGGACACAGTGAACAATTCATAAACGACATGATTGTTATTATGCATGTACTTCACAAATATATTGAGTCTATTTACAAATTGTCAATACTACATGTATACACTTCATACTACTGTCGAATTTCCATGTGGAGGAGGAAGGTTGCTTGGTCAGCGTAGTCTTGGACGGTACGTTCACCTTGAAGAAAGCGTTCCTTCAGTGTTGATAGTCTGTTGTTGATATTTCTGTATTTCAAAGATGTTGGTCGTTGGGTCTCGCCTGCTGCTACTTGGATCTGGTTGGCTTCTGTGTTGGCTTGTGTCTTCTTAAGGATTTTAATCAGGATGAAGATGTTTGGGTGCGCATGGTTGACGTGCTTCTTGAGTTTGCTGTGCCATCCCTCTAAATGGTTTTTGGTGCGTGGTCCTTCGTTACTGAAATGGTTCCAGTGTTGGCGGTTGTTTCTTTCTACCCAGTACACTGTGACATAGTCAGCGAAATCGGTTGTGTCGATAGCGATCTCTACGGAATCTTCTAGTGCTGTAAACCAAACATCTTCAACTAGCTCTGGTGGGACAAGGGGTAATACTACTGCACGTCTTACTAGTAGTGGTAGGTCTCCGTTGTCTTTGTAAACAGTGGCGAGTCCAAAATTCTGTGTCTTCCTCCATATGCATTGAGTAAAGTAGAAGAAGCAGCCTCTCAGTGAGATGTTGGCGAATGCTCGTTGGGGTAATTACGAATAGCTATCTCAAAGTCAGTGAAGAATATCTCTGGTTCTAGTTGGAGGTGGTGTTATTGACATGCAGTCTTCAGCAGTTGAATTAACGGTCGTACGTCTGTTTACTTTTATTGGGTAGTAGACTGAAGACGAGTGGATACATGACTTCATCGACCTTTGCGTGTTGTGTGTAGATTTGAAAAAAAAACTGGGTTGGAGATGTGTAGAAGGTGCCATCTCCATAAATAACGTCTGCTGCTACAAGGTTGGTGAGATTGCGAGTAGTGGTAAAAATCAGGATTTTTTCTGCGTTGCCATCGTCTGCGAATAGGAACTGTTACCCCCGCCGAGGTATGATACGAAATTGAAATAATTATATTATGATTAATGTATTAATATAGTATTAATTTAGTGTCATGTTTAATTATCATACATAAATCTTAATTCATAAATATATTTATTATCATAAATGACTTATTTCTTCAACAAATTGATAAACAAAATGTCATCTTTTTACTTTTTAAGATATAAATGTTTTTCAAATTGATAAATATTTTAATAAATGATTACTTAATTCCATTAGTATTTTTATTTTGCTGAATTAGCTTATTATTTAACATTTATTATCAAAACAAATTATAAATTTAATTTATATTATTAATCATAAACAGGTTTCACTATATCTACCAAAAAACAACAATTTTAATGGTTATATAAACACCAAGCCCATCTATTGTTTGAAACTTGTTGGATAAACGTGAGTTGGATTTTTCAAATGTTGGAGAATCGTGACTAAACCTCTTCAACAATATTTTTATTCTATGTTCTTTATTTTCTTTTATACTAAGCTAATTACGTTTTGATGCAAATTCAATAAAAATAAACATCATATATATTTGAATCATTTTTAATGATTTTAACATAGGAACTTTTTTTACTTGAAATATTGTTTACGGGGTTAAAATACAGTTTTTAAATTTTTTTTATAAAATAGTTAAATATATGGTATTATCATAACAATTCTTTATTTTATTTAAAATAAACATAAAACACTTTCTCTGATTAACTTTTCGTCGTGTTCAAGATTGCAAGAATTTATATACTATACAAATCCTTGATGATTGCAAATCTGGGACACCGTTTTTAATGTACAAAATGCACGTCTAAAATTTTTTTTCCGAATAAAATAATTTACAATAGTACTTTGTTAACCTTCAAGGATTGTTAAAAAATGACGGGTTTTTTTTTTTTCATGTGGGTATTTTTGTTTCATTACTGAGAATATTTTTGTCCTTTACGAATCCAAAGGACAAATTTGACTTAAATAGGTTATATTTTGTATCATAGACAAAAAAAAACGGTAGTTTTTATCTCATAGATTGTTTTCCATTTTTATCGGATATAATAGCTATTTAATAATTCATTGAACATTTGTATGCATCTATTAAGATAAAACAAATCCCGTCCAGCAAATTTGTCTAGTATGTAATATGTACATAATATGATATGCAACTTAATCACCAATGAATGATATGGAGTAGATTTGTTGCCTGTTCATGTACATTTATAACTTTTGTTTTTAACTCATTCCAATTCCTTTTCATCCGAGCTTTCATTGTTGGGGAATAATACAAAATACATGATTCATCCATCAAATATACATGTAGTTCTTTACGTTTGACTCTCAAATTGGTTCAACATAATAAAAGGTGAACCGTTAGGTCTTGTCTGTATCCTTACCTAAGGAATTTGCTTAGTTTTATAGCTCAAAACGAAATTAGTTGTTTTGCATGAGCATTTATTGATTCTTTCTTTTTAATTTCATAATGAGAAGAAATTCAGAAATGTGGTGTGAATTCGAAACACTTTACATTGGTTAAATAATAAAATTATGTTTCAGAAATGTTGAGTTTAATTTCGGTTTTGACGCCCGGAAAACTGTTTACAGTAAAAGACGAAAATCTGCACATGCACGTTCTTATATAAAAAAAAGAAGTGGATAGATTGCCAATTATCATAATTATATCATAATTAATGTTCGCTCCCAAATAATGAATCTATAATAGATGCCACTGGACGTTAAACGATCAACTATTATTTCATTCATCTAATCCTTTTAGTTTTGTGATAATTTGCATATCAAATACATAAAACAACTGCAGATTTACACTATAGTTAGGAGGTCGAAATTATTTCACACATAAAACACTTATTCACATTCCTTTGTCTTGATCCCCTAACAAAACAACACTTTATAAATGTCATGCAGCCGTAACGCTTTTCTGGATTTACTTTCACTAGGAACGCTCAAAGCTTAATATTTAAAAGCCAAAGAATGTATAAAAAAGATAGGAGTGAAGAGATTTATGACCAATAAAGGACCTACACATTCGCAACATTCTTTATATGTATCGAAAGCACGTAGTTTAGTGGTTGTCGTAACTTCAATGCTGTTATATATTTGGGCTTTTTGGGGAGGCAAAATTGCTTTGTTATAATATATAAGTCCGTTAGTTTTCTCAATTGAATTGTTTCATATTTTTTCATGTCGGGGCGGGGCCTTTTATAACCGACTTTACGGTTTCCGTATTTTTTCATCATTGAAGGTCGTACGTAACTGTTAACATCCTCTTGATTTGAACTTCCGTGAAAAGTTGTCTCAATAGCAATAATACCACATCTTCTAAATTTTATATAAGAGCTAAATCCATCATATGCCAACTTAGTCAGTGGTAGCTGAAACCAACGTTTCTTAAAACAAATTCTAAATTTATATACTGACAATGTTTGTCATGTATATCTGTTCGTGAAAATAGTATCAAAATATTTCAGCTATGAAGATTTGTAAACCCTTAAATAAACCGTATTTCCCTCGGACAATACCCGCGGGTATTCAGATCATTACTTTAGTACAATAAAAACCATTATCAGAAAATCGGTATAAAAGTGTTTGCAATTATTGAAATCAAGTAAACAGAATTGTATGTATACACTGTGTGTATGACTCGGAGGTGCAATAAGGACCATGCAGTTTGATGGTCACGCTGAAGTGCGATGGTCTGCGCCGAAGTACGGTAAGCTGTTCGTTGGTGTGCTATGGTCTATATGACTCGTGATAGCTAGATTAAAATCTACAGATGTTTAAATATTATGAGCAGTATATTTGTTTCAAAGTCAGTATGTAAATTTGCATTTACTAGTGTTATTGAATTTATCTATGGATGTTCAGTTGAATACAAATTGAGAGATCGTCCTCTTTGATTTTCTGCATGTCGAAATTATTCTTGCTTTAACATGTATCTTCCCTTTGTTCCTCTCATGGGATCCTCATTTACCGTTATATTATCATAAGAAAAGTCTGTGGACCCGTATGTACTTAAAGAATTCCACTGTCCATCGTACTTTAAAATAACTTTCGTATATTTCACGTTTCAGAGTCCTACATGTATATATAATTTAACTCAGAACTTAGAAAGTTTATACCAGCGCGGTTTATGCTTAAACCTTATTCTAGATGTCAGGTAACCTACTTGTGTTTATGTTAGATTGCTGTCTGATTGACACATAACCGCCATTTTATAAATATATATATTTTTTTGTTTTTGTTAAGTGCTGCATCCAGTTGCATCTTTTCATTTATGATATATTTCCGTGACGTAACCTCAACAGATTAGTTACTTCAACAAATAATTATTTTTAGGAAAAACTAAACCTCTTCTCGCATGTCGCACTTTGGGTAATTGTGAACCCTGTTCTCTTCGACAAAATACGGCCTTGAATTTTATTTTTGATATAAATATAAAAAAGCCACAATTTGGTCCCTAAATGGATATTTTTCAAAACCCCTAAAGCTAGGTAAAGCCTATCTCTTGATAGAAGCTCTTAAATTCAGCACGTTTTAGAGATTTTTAGAAAATATGATGGTGTTTGCCTTGTTCGAAACTAAAACATGACCGAATATAACTAAATACATGTAAACTAAAAATATGTTAAACAAATTTATTCTTGCTGTCAAATAAAAATACATTTAAAAAGCCATTACATTGATATAGATTATATTCTACTGAATTTACTATATCGATAATTTAAAATTCGATACTATTACGTAATATATATAAAAGTCGTGTATCCAGGTGAGAAATAACAACATGTGCCAAAATGTTTATCGTCTTCCATTATACATGAGGGTGTGGATGGGGGCTTACAGAATAGAAAATAATTGACAAAAAAATAAAGAATATAGAAAATAACCAAACAAATATAGAAAAGAGAATGATGAGGTACTAGCATATAAGGAATAAAGAACGATGGGCAAAAAGTATAACGAATAGAAATTATGGCCTAAAAATAATAGAATACAGAATTAATTAATCCCCACCCAGACCCTCATAATCTGACGATGACATTTAGCTTTAGGGCAATTATGGGCATACGATTCAGTATTTTTTTACGAAAGTTTGCATACAAGATATTTTTTACAAAATTATTTTGAATATGTAATAAAAAATATATCTTCATGTGCTAAATTTTAAAGATAAATGGGTTTGAATTTTTCGACATTTACTAAAAATTTTGGTTTCTTGGACATTTTTGTCCTCAAAACAGACATCCTTAACTTTTTTGTTTCAAAAGATAAACATAGGCGGATTTCGGTAAAAGGATAAGAATATCTTCGTTACAAAATAAGCCCCTACATTTGTGTAACAATTCTTTGTTAATAATTCATCTTTGTTAAAACAAAATTGATCTTAGAAAAAAAAAACGGCATTTTTGTTGTATATTTAACTAGTTTAAAAAAAATTGGTGATTTCTTCATACAGTATCAAGACAAATGTCATTTCACAGTTTGACGTCGCGAAAAATAACATGTTACGTCAGCAATTTAAAATGTGTCTATAAAAAGAACGAATTCTACACCATTTAAAATTCTGTCAAAAAAACATTTTATAGGTAAACTTTATCAAAGTCATCCGAAAAAGTGATTAGAATGAGTACATACTTATTTAATTTCATGCTAAAAGTTTTAGATCATGTAGAAGAGAGAGTTAAATTTTGATTCTCGAAAATTCGTCGGCAGACATTTTTGATATTTCTTTTGTCATTCAATTTGTTCTATAAGGTTCCGTTTTACTGATATGCATTTATCAAGGGACAGTCGGGATCAATTTCATCTATCCAATTAAAAACGCATGTTGAAACTCCCGGTTACGGTTGACCACAGAGATAACACGTATTTGTTGATATTGAAAAACTTACCGTGTTGACAACATCGGCGCGTGTTAATTAATTAGATGAGTATTTATACAAATATATTAAAAAATCAATAGCTATTGGATTTTTTCCCTTTTTTTAATCAAATACGGAAATGGCATTATGTAGCATGAAATCATATTTGATAAGTAATAATACACAATGACATGACATGATAAAATTTTGATTATACAAATCCTTGTTCAGATCCAGGGACAAAGATGTCCAAATCATTAAGTATACACCACATTCTGAAATATTAAATGAAATGGCCATCTTAGACGTTTTGTTTATCTAAAAGGGCTTTCTTTTATCTCTTTTTCAGTATTTTCTGTGGGCCGGAAAATTCTCAAAACTTCATTATCCCGTCAAAAATACTAAAAAGTGCTAAGTTTTATAATTTAGGAATTTTTAAAAAGTATTATTTGCAATGTTGCATTCACAATGCACCTTTTTTTCATATAAATATATATACATAATTACTCTAAATATCAGCACAACAATGTTAAATCTGTAAATTTGCGGAAGCAAATTTTTGTTCTTCCCTCGCCGGGATTGATGTTTGCGTAATATCCAGTGGCAAATATTTCATACATTTCTGAACGAAAACAAATGATCAAAAATTAAAAAATGGCTGGATCCGCCACTCTTTAAAATGTAACAATTTATAAATATTTTTTTTATCTAATTTAATATCAAGTTGAATTATAAAAATCGACGAGTTTTATAATTTGACAACACTCATAGATATATATATCCCGAATACTAATATGATATTTGCTTGCAATTTAAACTCTCAAAAAATCCTATAATATCAAACCTACAAGCATAATTCATGTTTTACGTTGAACAGAAGATTTGTGTCTATCAAATGCAGTTTCAAGAGTGTAAGATTCTTATTGTTGTGATCTTAAAAAATATGATTTATTTCATTCCCGCCAAAAATAAAACGTAAGAATGAAAAACGTTTCCAGTATAAAAAAATTACTAATTTTCATGGGTTTTTTTTCTCGTTTGTTTTGAAGAAAAGAGTTTTGTCTTTCTTCAGAACATTGAATCTGACATCATAGTACACGTTTTCCTTGCTGGCGCACTATATGAAAAAAATTGCAAATTGGACGTTTGAAACCCACATTTAAATTTTCAAGAATAACAACTATATTCACCTACTTTGTTATCCAGAAATTGAAACTATAGGCATAAATATATGAATTAAAATTTTTGATTCTAAAACATTATACATTCATTTAACCTCTGATCATAAAATCCCCGTTATTACTACCTCAAGTGTTTTATGTAAACGATATAGTAAATATTAAATACAAATAAGTTTTTTTTTAATGCAAAAATTTATTTAGAATCTACGAAATAATTTTCCGTTGAAAACTATAAAGTATTTCTCAAAACAGGATAAAATGTTATGAATCTAAATCGCTCATTTTGGAAATTAAAACAAAGTCAAGGTTGTATGTATAGATTGCCGGCATTGAAAATCAAAATTTGTTTTCAATCTTTCCGGTCATTGTAGCTCTTTGAAAGTGAAAAATTTTATGTTGGATCTTATTCTTGAAGAAATTGTTTTTGTCATAAGTTAAATTTACAACAAGTTTAGTTTTAATTTTGATTTTAATTCACATTCACTGAGTATTAATTTCTTATATTTTTTGCCTTAAGCTTCAGTAAGATCAGGCGAAATCTTTCTCATTTCTCCTTAAGACAATTTGAAATGAAACAAATGACAAAAGACAATGAACCTTCATCATTTTATTTTTACTATAAGATTTTGTCGAATTAAGCAGTATAAATAAAATTTAACTTCATTGCAAGATCAGACATTATTATACGAGAATCATCATTGCGCCGATTTAATTCTTTCATTAGCGCCTATTTTATTTGTTTTATCATTTGTCCCAATACTATATAATTGATATACGAGTAAATACATGTACATGTAGTAAACCTAGAATGTATATTGGTAATATATGGATATAAACAGTGTTCCCTTATGTTTAAGATAATTTTGGTCATATTGTTCGAGAACGTCGTTTTGACAAGAGAAAGAAAAGATTGACTTCGTTTCGTTGTTGGCAAGTACAACAAGTATAAAAGAGATGAAATGACAAGAATGGAATATATCAGATGTGTATAGCATATAAGTACTCGGCAAGAACAGTAAGTATTTCATTGTATTACGTTTTTATGGATTTGATTGTGGTGCTTTAAAATGCTGTAAATAGAGTTTTACTCCATGATTTTAGTGGATGTAAACAGAGTGCACAAATAACTTTTAAATTGACTTATCCTGCTCAAAATTCAACTCCCACCTCTTCTTTGTGAGCAGGTGATAACAGTTATATACATGTTATAATTGACAATTCATAACATATGTACAACTGGCTAACGGAAGAGGTTTTACATGATAAATAAAAAATAATAATTTTCACCTATAATTTACCTGTACACAACCGGTGCAAATGAAATACAAAATCGGCGCTAGTGAAAGAAAAAAAGTGAATGCAGATCAACGCAAATAAAAAAGCCGAGTTCAAAATTTAAAATTTGTTATTTTTATTATTAGAACTGAGGTAACTCAGGATACAGATATTGTAGTATCTTTTGTGACCATTTGTGTTTTATTTCCACTAGATATCAACGCGACGCTTAATCCACTTTTCTTGGAAGACGTTTTTTTATAAAAGCGTACACCATGTTGGAATTCATGAAAAACGCGAAATAGGACGTTATAATTTGACGTTTTTTCATGGCTAGAAACAACGTCATAGAACTTTTCTATCACTAACAATTTGCATTAGTTGATGCGCATAAACAATAGACTGTTAAAAGGACAATGTTTAAAATAACTCGTAATCGTTGCTCCAAAATCTTATATCGGATATTATTTTAATCAAAAGCAATTAGATATAAACGCAAAGATATACACAATATAGTTTTTTTCCAAAGTCTGAAGTTTGCAAATCTTCCATGAATACAACAGGGGGTTTGGAATTATAAAAGTGGTGAATTACCGAATCTCTATCTATCTATCAAATTTACAAAACTTGTTAACGTTTATCAGGCAGCTTGTCTGTTAATCACTATTTTGTCATTTTGTCATGTTTTTGCAAGACAAACTCCTTAAATTCATCAATGATATTCGATTTCAGGAATTCTGCACGAGCTGTCTCCCTGGCACGCACGAGTTTGTTTTCGTAATCGATTTGTAATGCTTTTATTTGGCGTTGATACTTCTCTTCATCCCATATTTTATTGTTTAGTTTGTCCAGGTTCTCTATTTTTTTCTTTAATTCATTTTCCAGTCTGTCCACTACCATTTTCTGCTTTTCTTTAACTCTGTGTTCAGCTTCATTTATTGCGTCATCTGTATAATGAATAACGGCATTTTTTAATCTCAGGGCATTAATCTGGTTCAGAAGATTTTGTACGAACATTTCTTGTTCGCGTGGACCGGCATTATTATCAATTGAACAATATCCTCCATCGCATTCATGTAAAAATGATTGAAGTTCAGGTAACCCCTTCATCCACTGCTCTAGTGTGATATTTTTATTTATTTCGTCAGCATGTGTGAACACGGTTATAATAAAATGCTTTAGTTCTTTTCCAAAGTAACTCAGAAAGGTGTCGATTGATCGTAAATCCTCCCCTGTTAAACGACCAAACTGGACAACAAACAGAATGGCATTTGGACCAGGTGCTGTTAAATGAATACATCTCTTTATTTCCCTTTCAATATCCTCTGCCTTTTTGCTTAATGCAAATATACCTGGTGTATCGATTAATTGAAATTGTGTCTTTCGAAATGAACCGCTGGCCTCACCACATTTGTCTGTAACTGATTGCGCACAATTATCTGTTTCAAAAACATCACGTCTAAGTAAAGTATTTCCTGTTGAACTCTTTCCCGATCCCGTTTTTCCAACTAGAACTATACGAATCTCTTCATCTACAAAATACAAATTCATTAAAAATATTACTTGTAATATTAATAACGTTTCACCATTACAAACAAATTGACTAAATAGTAATTAAAGGTCTTTCCACCAAAAATATGATTAAGATACGAAATATGAAAAAAAAAGGTAAAAATTGACACTTAATGAAGGAGAAAGCAGGTTACCTAAACACTAATTTCAAACAGCATATGATTCAATACACTTTCACTTAAATAAAGGAATATAATAAGCTACTTCTGGTTTAGAAATTGTCATGTCATAGGTCAAATTAAAGGTTTTTTTATACTAATTTTATAACCCACATGGTTGCTAGGGACTTTTCTGTGAAACAAGGGAGGTTATCTCTCCCTTTCGTTGTAAAGAGGATCACTTTCCAGTGAACAGTTGATCACTTTTGATGTCATTAAATAACTGAATTTAAACTGATTCAAAAATATAAACTGTCCTCTAGAAAAAGGGAGATATATTAATTTACCTTTACTTAAGATAAGAAAGATAATCAGCCACGTCAAGTTAACAGGTCACATTCGGTGCCATAATATAGCTTAAGTTATACTGATTCCCAAAATCTATGGTTTCTATGTATATTTCTTGGCAATAAGGGACATAACTACTTCCGGTTATCAAAAGGTGACTTCCGGTGTCATAACAAGGTTACTGTGTGACTAATGTAAACATATTTGGTTTACTTGGTGCTTTTTCCAAGCTATAGTGCAAAAATGGCTACTTCCAGTTTGCACAAAATCACTTCGGATTGATTTCATGTCTCACACAACCTGCTGCAAAATACCTTTTTATTTAATCATATCCCAGACTTAAGTAATAATCAATTGATATTTTTAACATTTCAGGGGTAATAACTCCTATAAGATATCATTCAATCGCGTCGGTCTGAATTTTCTATTTCTTCGTCTCAACAACCAATATATTTTGAACAGTGTGTTCTTGTCTAGCTTTCATAGTTAGTAACAAGATGTACACGCAATCAATGAGCAAAGTCTAAAAGATCAATTTCAATGTTGACCATTACCTTCACCTCCAATTTATGACCCAATTATCTCACATCAAAATATTCTATGTCTTTATGGCGTACGGCTTATACGTTACATTAAAAAACCGATCGACATTGTGAGTTCGAATAACGCACGAAGGATCGTTTTCGGACTGAAGGTTGATGGTTATCTCCGGGTACTCCGGATTCTTCCATTAATAAAAACTAATCGCCACAAAATAGCACAACAGTTTTTTAAACCAATCAACAAATCAATTAGACCGATAAGTAAAATAGTGACGGGAAAATGACCAAAACTTCCTAAGGATGTATCGAACATTTAAGAAAACTGAAATTAACAAACAAGATAAACGGCGTAAAGGAAGATAATTTTTACCAAATATGTGTTCGGTAAAAGGTTAAAAGCAAATCTACTTTTCATTATATTATACCTAACATCTAAGCAAAATGTTGCAAAAAAAAAATTACACAGAAACATTTGGTGGAACCAAACATTTAAAAAAAAAAACCAATTGTTTACCGAACAATTGAAGGTCTTTCCTCCATTATATTTCTAAACTATTGATAAGAAGCCATTTCTTTTTTTAATAACATGAGAAAATGTTTGAATAACATAAGTAATTTTTTTTAAATACATGAGTGTTATTTCTGCTATTAAAAAAGTAGCAAATAATTATAACAAAGATTCATATAAGTTATGTTGTCCATTTATTCCAACTTGCTAACAAGTCTTTTTTAAAAGTAAAAAAGGTCCTAAAGATATGTATAGAATACTCATTAGTAGCAATTTGACTCCAACAGGACAACTGAAGTGGAGTGAAATATTCGGCAAAAATCTTATTTGGGAACATAAATTCAAACTACCTTTTACAGTGACTGTCAATACTAAACTACAGTGGCTTCAGTACAGAATCAACCACAGAAGTCTTGCAAAACATATCGTTTATGTAAAATCCAATTTATTGATAACCCTTTATATACTTTTTGAATATTAGAAGATGAAACTGTTGAACATATTCTGAGGAATTTTGAGATTATCAACTTGTTTTACAAGATATTTAATATTTGTTTTATGTGAGGGGTAAGCCTGCCATTGAATAAGTTAACTTTTACTTTTGGAGAAAGAAAAGGTGACCCATATAATTTGATTTTTTTTACATGAAACAATATATATACAACATTAAATATTTTTCAAAAGATCTTTCACTCAGTGCCATTAAAGAAAGGCTAAAATATATGTACAATTTAGAAAAATTATGTCAGTCAAAAATAAGAGACAAGAGCACTCTGATACTATGTGGAATGCATTTAAAGAATTATTTTTATAATTCAATTTGTCATTTTTTTTAAGATACTTATTGTCAAAACTAAAATAATATATAATTTTATCTAATAGCAAAATTCATTATGTACAGAAATCTTACAGAATATTTCTAATCTCTTCCTTCTTCATAAAATACTTTACCCTTCTCATGTACCACACAGTGGTACATAAACATTTAACTCAAATTATCTTTTTTTCCGTATTTATGTTCTATTTTGATATGAATATAAAAAATAATTTTCAACAATGTTTATTGTATATAAATAAATATATATTAAAAGAAAAAGAAGAAAGCTATTACTTGCGCCAAATAGCAGGTTTCTACTGACTTTCTTTTAGAAAATTCATGATTTCTATATACTTTTGCCTGACACAAAGGAGACATTTTGTACTTTCAGTTTCGAAAATGTCATTTCCGGTTTCTTGTGATAACTCACACAGATTAAAATATATATAGTCTATATATACTTTTCCGGAATGAAAGCGATGATTTGCTTTTATCAGTTAAAGATTGTCACCTCCTGTCCTTCATTTAATGCTGAGGCATTCCTTTCACAGATACGGTTTCTGGGATGTTTTCTATGAAATACTTTCGATTTACTAAGGGTCACATCCAGTTGACATTTTCGAGGTCGTATATCACCAACAATTTTACAAAGATCTCATGGTTTTATAATGTACCAAGTTTAAATCATAATCAAGTACCTTCAAATATACACATTTCAGGAGTAATAACTACTTTAAGATGTCATTTTTTCCTAGCCAGATGTATCATAAATCATCGTAATAAATCAACCATTTTAGTTCTAGTATATCTATACTTTACAGTTCAAGATATAATGCAAGAACAAGCAAAAGTCAAAATTATGGACTTGACTTTTGACCTTGACGTAATTTAAAGCTCAACTGGCCCACAGGGCCATGTGAGCTTATGCCATCATTTGGCGTCCGTAGCCGTTTGTAGTCTGTCGTCGTTACTAAATGTTTCTTACGGTATTTAGTTTATAAAATGTATCCGAAGTTTTGCTCCATCAACAAACATGGCAACCATTATTAAAACAGACAAATGCAGTTTTTGGCTTATATCTCAAAATATAAAGCAGCTAGAGCAAAAGTGACAGAAGTATTGAGTATTGAATAGATTAAGATCTATCTGCAACAAAATGTTCTGAACAATTTGCCAACCGTTGTTTGGTTGTTGTACGAAATAGTTTTTTGGGGAGAAATTATAGTTTCGTTTATTGCGATTGAAAGAGTATTTTTTTACAATTTTCTTGTTGAATCATTACTGTTTTCATTACTTTTTCTCTGAACCTACAAGACTTTATTCATCTCCTTTTTACTAGGTATACCTATGGATACTTAATAACCTCTGATGCTTAAATTGGGACATAGGGTGAAATGCAGTTTTTAATTAGCTAATATCTTTAAAACAGTTAAAGCAAAACTTACAAGGGTTAAACTGATCAATATGACTAGATTATCTTACAATTAATATTTTAAACATATGATGCTGAATTAAAATGAGGTCAATCTTTCAATGGACTATTAGGGGACGAAAGTACTAATAAATCGTAGTCTTAATTGCGTTTTAAAGAATTAGACAATTGATGCTATCTCATGATTATCAGTGACTTATTTTACTGGACTATTAGTGGTAAGTTACCGATGTTCCTTACATTTTAAAACCAAATTGTGTCAGTACTGATGTCAATGAGTAATACGCATATAATTGCATATAAACTCATTGGACTTTTTTCCAGATGCAAATGATAGCGTCATTGAATTAACAAAAAGATATATTTTATCCAGTCTTGGTTTCCATAAGTTTTCTTTTGTAGAGCTGTTTAGTTCTATTAGAAATTATTTATTTGTATGTTTTGTGTTTTATCAGTAATCAAACACGAATAAATAATAAATTATAAATAACAAAGTGGCATTTTAAGCAAACAACGATTTACATTAAAAAGGAAATATATAAATCAAGATTGATAAATGAATTGAGCAAAAAAAAATAAGGTGATCGATTAAGGCCCTTGAGAGCCTCTTATTTTTATTTAAGGCTTAATACCCTGGAAGAAAAGATCCAAGGTCTATACGGCTTACGTTTCCTGAGTTATAAAAATATTCCGACAGATGCAATTGCTACCGGTAGATTTCTTTTATAACATGCCGCTGAATCGCTTCGGTCCAAATCAATCAACATTTCTTTAGGATTAGAAGAAAGACTTTTGTTGATATCTTTTTGATTGAGGAGGAGATGCTCACACAAGAAAAAACATTGTTTGGGCAAATAAATCTTAGAATAATAGGTTTCAGTTACACAGATAATACCATATTATTACATGGCATTCAGATGTTTTATCAGCCCTAGGTTCAATATCAGCTAAAAAGCCGGAGGCTCGATGGCTGATATTAACGGAAGGCTGATAATACATCTGATATGAAAAATTACATTCTATGATCTTTGTATCATATGCTTCATCAATGGAGAAACATAACAGTTTAATATACTGATCCTTTTAAGTGGTTATCAAGTAGAAGTTAAAACATGAAAAGGTTACGGACGCCGCACGCCAAATGTAATATCTCCGATATGAATTTTTTCTATCTTATGCCTCAACAGAGTAGAAAAACAACAGTGTTATATATTTTTATATTGACAATAAAAAAAAATCAACAAAAAATAATAAACACTGGTTGGAAAAGTCAAAATTTGTAATTTGAAAGTAACTTTCTAAATTATGCTTAAAACTTTGAAATATGCATTCATTATATCATTTGTTTTTTGCATTTTATAATATATATATTCCTGTTTCCTAATAATTGTTTTGTACTTTGTTAGATTTTTTTTTTATTGGGGTGTACTCTCCGGAATTTGCTGAGTAATGCCGGAATGCCATGCGATAGCCGGAGGCATGTGATACACTTTTATATTAGCCCGCTGAACACCATTTCGGAAAATATGGAATTCGCGTAAAATTAATGCTATCATCATACTGTAAAAGGTGTTGGTTTTTTACTCAAACATGTCAAAGTAAATGATAAGATAAAATACAGTGTAACTTAAATACTTCTCAAGGTATTAACATAAATGGCAATATATTATCAAACAATATTTATTAATACTAGCTCATACAAAAACAGTAATTAGCAATTTGACGTTGGTATTTTTCTAAGATTTGGAAAACCGAGAAGTTTAATATTAACGTAGTTATGTATATGTTACAGTGAATTTGTATAATTAGGAATTATTGAGAATCCCTGATTTTTCAGGGACTTTGTATAATCACTAAAATCATTACTGATTATATATATATATCCATAAAAATGACCACTGATTTTAAATAATCACTGAACCAAAAATAATTACTTTACAAATTCCCTGGAATGTTATTATCAGGGATTATCACTTACACAATCTGTTTAGTAATAATCAATCAAATAATACAAATAAATAATATTTATAACCTCTTTATTATTTAAGTGGACACTTTTAATTTCCTTTAAATTTAACAAATCTTATTAAGATATTATATTTAACCTGGTTAAAACACTTTAACTCAAAGACAATTAAAAAGATTTTAAATCAATTTATAGAATAGATAATAATGGAAAAACAGTGCAAAATAAAGTGCTTAAAGTAAAAAATTGAAAAAAATAAGAATTTAGAATAATAGTGTGCTAAAATATACAGAATAGAGAATAATGGGCAAAATAATATAGAGAAAATTATCTTAAAAAAGAATGAATACAGAAATTATGAACCCCTTAACCAGACCCTGGTTGTAAATTGGTTTTATAAAGTTTACAAGTTAGAATAAAGTATAATAAATTTAAACAAGATTTTATATCTTTTTTTTTCAAATAAAAATGAACAAATTTTATTATATTATATATTGATCTCTTAATCAACTCAATGTTTAACACTGTTTTCCATCATATAATCAAATATGTTTTATTTTTTCTAAATTCTTATTAATGAATATTATATATTTTTTTACTGTAGTAGTTTTCTTAACCACCATCTAGTAATTAATGGCTGAATAGTTTACGTTTTATTTTTCTATTTTGCTTTTTCATAAGATTGATAAATAACATTTTTAAATTTATCAATGTACTATTTTGCTATGTGCGAAACAGATGATGAAGAAAGTAATATTTGGTATAATCAGTGATTTGATAATTGTTATTCTTTTTTTCATAGTTAGATTTCTGTTCTCCCAATTTTCAATAATCTCCTCGGAATTTTCTCATTGTTTAACAGCATCGAGTGTTTGACGTTCATTTTCATTACAACCAACAACAAATAAACCTAAACATTTCGCCTGTTGATGTTTTAACATTTTTCTTTGCAATGTTTATGTTGTCCCAACCATATGCCTTCTTGTTTCGATCTGTTAAATGTAACCCCTGATAATGTTTCAAACATGTCAATCATATTTAGAATTTTTGAAATGTCTATTTTGTGTTTTTAGAAAAAGTGTGATTTCATCTGCAAGTTGACTGATACTTTATGAATGTGTTTTCTCATCTATCTTAATTCTAAATACTTTAATATTACGGTCTTGCCTTATCTTACAGGCTAATATCTCTACAGCAATAACGGAAATCAGTGCACTGCACGGACATCCTTGTCGAATTCAACGATGGATGCTAATGGTTTCAGAAATCAACCAGATATAAATTTATTACTGCCACTGCTGGTGGAGTTTTAATTCCCCGAGGGTCTCACCAGCCATGTAGTCAGCACTTCTGTGCTGACATGAATTATCATTGATATGAACATAATTATAAATTAACTGTTTACAAAACTTTTGAATTTTTGAAATACTAAGGCTTTTCTAACTCAGGAATAGATTACCTTAGCTGTATTTGGCAAAACATATAGGAATTTTGGTCCTCAATGCTCTTCAACTTCGTACTTTATTTGGCCTTTTCAACTTTTTTGGATTCGAGCGTCACTGATGAGTCTTTTGTAGACGAAACGCGCGTCTGGCTTAAATACAAAATTTAATCCTGGTATCTATGATGAGTTTATTTTTAAACATCTGGTTATTTATAGAATAACTAATCAAAGAATTCAAATAGAGAAAAAATAGTCTACGAGTGACCGAACAATAAATCAATTCACGAATGCGCGTAGCGCATGCGTTTATTATCAGTGTTGTTCAATCACTAGTTGAATATCTTCGATATTTTAATTCTTCGATTAGATTTTCTTTTTTATTACATTGGCAAATGATTTTTTTATGATATTAAAGTAGAAAATGTATGGAGCTATATCCACGATATCCTTTTCTATACATTCAAATTTGGTTTGATGCGAAATCAGCTACAATGTCTTGATAACGCTTATTGTTGTATGACGTCAGAGGAGTGAAATAATCACGTTTATTTCAGATGTAAAAATTATCGGTTTTTATTTCACTGGGAAATCAATGTAGTTCATTGCAACCACTGTAATTTAAAGTTTTAATCAATTTCAGCATAGAATTTTGAAATCCAAATCTTTTTAAGCTGAAAACATAACATCCGATTTTAAAGAGTCAAATGCTTTTGAGAAGTCTAAAAATAGTACTGACCATTTATGATAATCGTTCTGCATAATCAATAATATCCTGGATTTGTCTTATGTTATAACGTTTATATATATGTTTGACATCACATTTTTGGTAAGTTATTCTTAATACGCAGAGCCAATGAATTTGCAATTATCAATATTTTTTCTAATCCTAAAACATTTTCTTTTTCTACTACTTCTACTAATTGTATTCTCCACCTTATTTGAGCCCCTTTTCTTTATATTTCATAAGATTATCTTAGTTTACATTCATTGAAAGTAGTATTATTCTTGAAAAAAAAATAATCTTTACAATTTCTGCTTATACTTTCATTTGATTTTTCAATCTTATTTTCAAAACATTTATTTCAATTGTATATTGTTTTGCTATTCTTTTACAGTACGCAACAGCATGTTCACATCAGCTTTGAACAGATCCTATCGATGGCCACTGCTATCAGTAAGTGCTTTTTTGTATTTCTGAATAAGGCCTTTTATTATATTTCTATTATATATCATGTATATTATCCAAAATACTGATATTATTTTACAAAAGCCTTTCCCTTTTGATTGTGATCCTCCTTTTAACTTTAGTGATAAAGCTTGGTGATTTGTGTGCGATAGAAGTACAGGTCTTATATCTGCTGAATATATTTGTGACCTATTTCTGTGCAAAAAAGAAAGTAATCAATGTGAGAAGATTCATTCATCTAATTTTCCGTCTCCATGTAAATTGTTAGTTTTGATACTATGTAGATCCATCCAAATGTCTATCAACTTATGTTTTTTTATTTAATTTTTTAGATTGTTGGTTTTTTTCTTTCTTTTTGTGCTACTTTTATCTGTCAAAATTAGATAGTGTATCATTTATATCTCCCCCAACTATGACCATACTGTTTTTCGTATCGTTTACTTAATTTTTCAATGACGATAGTAAATAAAAATACTAGAAAAGAATGAAATAATAAAAAGCGTTAGGCATTTTACGGAACACTCCCAATAACACTACGAGGGTCACGAATTCTAAACGCGTTTTGTACAATGTTGTATTCCTCTCGACATTCAGATGTTGTAATAAATGCATTGTCTTATTTTGGCCTGATAGGGATGACACAACCTTTATAACTGCATCTCATTTCTTTGTAATATTTACATTGCGAGCCTACTAAATATTGCTTATATCATTTATGAAGGCGTAATAATAAGTTACAAATGTCCATTTAACTTTACTATCCTTCCACTAGAAAATATGACGTGTAATAATGCTTTAACAATGTGTATGACAATGTATTGTGACTGTCGCTTTCTCAATCAGTGTTTATTTGATTTCGACAAAAACGCCAGTCTTAGGGATATATATTAATGAATATGAAATATTCTGAAACAATATCGCTTTAAATACCGTAATTGAAATATTTCTATGTTCAACTTACCTATAAACTGTGAAGCTCTTATTCTTGCTTCCGATATAAATTTGTCAACCCTTACTTGAGCAGATGGATCGCTCGGAGATAAATCTGCAGGTGCCATGACAAAAATGGTGAATATGAAATAATAAAGACGAAATATTTTATTTAAAGTAGAAAAAAACAAATGAAATTTAATAAGTCGTTCCCAATCACTTTAAAATAAAACATCAGCATAGAAACAAAGGATGTTATCGATATTGACATAATGATATATTATGTTATTGCTAATGCGTAAGCTATCCTGCGCAATGGCAATGTTAACAACAAATTTGTTAACGGACGGCTTCAATTAATGAAATAAACGTTTAATTAGCTTTATAAACATAAACAATGTTAACATTTGGTCCAAGTATGTTAAAATATATAAAATCCAAACGCTTCTTACAATCGCTTCTATTTCTTACTAGCAATAAAAAAAACTTTAACAAGGTACATTTTTATTACAGAGTCGTCGTCAGTTTCGCATGAATTACCATAAATACATATAATTTACAAAATATTAAAACACATCCTAGTACCAAAAGTTGAATTAGAAATATAAGTGAACGTTATACAGTGTTATATCAATAAATATGACACAGAAACAATGATGTAATACCATGCCGAACAATAAATATAAATAGGGAAACTCGACAGAACATCTTGAAATTGATATCAAACTATAGTTACTTGACTAGGTATTTGTATTACGTGCAAAATATGTTGTCTCTAAAAGCGCCATATTGCAAAATTGTAAAAGTAACACTTACTGAAATTTCGATTGCAAACTCCAAAAAGTAAAGCCTTCTCGCAAAATATACAATGAATAGTGACCTTTTAGAAACGTTTGGCGTACAAATGTCGGGACCTTTATAATAATTTGAATAGAACACTTACCCTCTTTTCTCTCGCCATCAGTGGCATTGTTCAAGGTCAAATAAAGATCCGATTTTTTCGGAGGGTTCTTGTCTGCTTGTCATATGAAATTAACATTAAAATATGTTTTTACCACTTAGTGAATGATTTCAACATATTTGAAGATATACATTAAAATTTCATTTGTCAATGTAGTCCTCAAAGTTGTAGACTTCATGTCCTGTAATTTTAATGAGATATCAAAATTGTTCTTGATATAATCAAAAGCACCAACAGTGTAAATATCAAAATAGAACAGCCAAAACAGCAAAGGTAAACTTTTCAGTTAATGATTTTTTTATCAAATATTTATGGTAAAATGAGCACAGAGATATTAAGCACTAATTGAAACATAAATGTATAATGATACTCGCTTCTGATACCGATTTACTAAATCATGGTGGTGATAATAACAATTATGTTTGATATTGGTTTTGTATACTTCTATAAAGGCGACAATGATTGTTCTTTTATGGGCTTTAAGGAAAATACTCTTTATATAATTGAACAGGGTATGATGCATGCATGTCAGTTAATGCCATACAACAAATATAGTTGACCTATTACTTATAGTTTAAGCAAAACAGACCAAAACACAAAAACTTAACACTGAGCAATGAACCGTGAAAATGATAAATATATGATGAGTATTTGAGAAGATTTAATTTACCTCTATGGTCTTTGTCTTTCTTCTTTTCCCGGTTTAGATGATGTTTTGATTTATTTGTTATCCGGGACTTTTCCCAAAGGTTAGTATCTACTTTCCCCCCAAGGGTGACTGGGGAATAGAAGTATGGTCACCATTGGTCTTCCTCCGACCGGCAGTAAAACCCGTGCTAAAGTGGGGCGTCCGTTTGGCTGTGCGGGATGTACAAATTTGCAGCCACGTCCGGTCAGAATGGGGACGTTAAATCCGATGCCTCGTGTAAAGAGAGTGCCACGCTCTTTGCACGTTAAGAACCCTTGCAACAACTCTTTGAGGGGTCCGTAGGTGACCTGTTGCAAGGCTAAATTTCTGTCCCTATCCAATATACCCTCATTTCCCGTGGTAGTCTAAATTTCTCCGACCTTAATCCCGGACGCCCCTATTACAGAACCTACCTATTGTATTTATTGTTAATTTGTTCTCGTCCTGAATATGCATGAAATATTTGCCACTGGACGTTAAGCAACCAACAATCAATCAATCAATAGTATCTACTTTTAATGGAAATGTGTCCTTTGTTATTTGTACATCGCCAGTGTATTGTATTGATTGTTACATGTATTGATTTGTATTATCTCCCTTACTCCATGTGATTATGATCATTCTTGGGTTATTTCCCTTTATTTTTTACCGCCTGACATGCATTATTAAATGTGTCTTCCTAACGATCATATGTGTTTGTTTTCTCTGCTTACTGGTGCATGATTGTGTAGATTGTGATAACATACTATAAGTAAATATCTTTTAAATTATTACATGAAAGACTGTGGGTGTTCATTGTTGTTCTATATTATAGAATTGCCAATTGTACATGAAATTTGTAGATTAAATTATGTAATAGTCAGTAAATACATAATCACTGGGGTAAATGTGATATCCGTAACTGCAGTTACGGATATCTAATGATGGTGAAATTGGTCAATATTTCTTTTGTCAATTCTGTAATATCTATGGATTATTCTTCGTTATTTCGTGTCTTTTTTAACATATTTCTAAATTTGAAATTGAAATACTAAGTGTTTGTTCATAGTTCAACCGCTAAATGGAGAAAACAGCCGTCCAAAATATCGCGATGATATGGGTAACTGAAGTAAATAAATTGTCAATGGTATACGTAACTAGAAATATTGATATCCGTAACTGATTTTATTTCTAAACAATGCATTCATGTTTTAAATGAAATTAATGTCTCCGGTTATAAAAATTGTAATAAATCGAAATCAGAATTGTTCTTGGAAATCTTTACAAATAGTATGTGAAAATATATTGATCAGGCTACCAATTTTGTATTTCTATATAGTCAGCAACATGCACAGTGAGCTAGAGGAAGGAAATTGGGCAGCTTTTTGCAGATGAAATATGGGTAGCAATCAAGACAAACATATCGCTTATAACAACAAAAGAAAATGAATAGATACCAAGTAAAATTGAAAACGGACAGTCCTTTAGCAAATGGCAAAATCTAAATCTCAAACACATCAAACGAATAGATAACAACTGTCATATTCTTGACTTGGTTCAAGCATTTCCTTATCAGGAAAATGGTAGATTAAATCTTGTTTTATAGCTAGCTTAACCTTTAACTTGTATGGCAGAATTTCATTATATCAACAAAAATTTATGAGCAAAACAAACAGACATGATAGGTAAATATGTCAAAATTTGGGGTACAACAGTCAACCTTGTTTTATAATCTAAATCACTATAATACAAAATTTGAAACTAACTCAACAAAGAAAAAACAAAATGGCATATAGACGGAAAGTGTCACTTTTGTAATGAAAAAGAATCACTATTTCATCTTTTTATATATTGTAAACTGGTGGAAGACGTTTGGCGGAAAATTTTTGAAAAAATATGGGAATTTTGTTCAAAATTGAGTATCGAAAAATCACAAAAATCGTAAAAGAGTACCGTTTTGGGTGTCATAAATGCAGGTACTTGTTATTTTCAAATTATAGATACGGTGCTTCTTATCATGAAATGGGTTATTTGGAAAACTAGAAACATCGTAATTTATCAAAAGAAAGGGATATTTGAATCGAGGATTTTGAATATAATAAAACATGAAATGCAATTTTTGTTCAAATCACTTAAATCAAATACGAAAAATTAAGCCTTTTCTATAATGTGTGAGACTTTTTGTATATAACTATATATATTTGCGTGGTCAGGCCAGTGTAATAGTCTCTTCAATACTGAATAGATTATCATATACATTGCACTCAACTTCCTTTATGTACTATGCACTTTCTATTGTGTATGTAAATTATGTCTATTATGTACTGGTAACAAGGACATGGTGTATAATAAGCAAATATTTACTCACCATATCTTTGAAATAAATCCATTTTGGGAAACAAAATAATAAATCAAACTTTTATGAATGAATTACACATTTCCTTTCAAATGATTGTTAACGAGTAGCACGTGGCAAAAGATCACTCGACCAGAAATTGAATGTAATAGAAATTAATATAACAAAAGAATGGAGTGAAGTGCTATAAAACTGAAACTGATTGATAAATACAGGCAGCTCTTGTGAGAAAAAGATATATACAGATAGAATGAATACTTTATTCAAATGATTAGAAATGGTGAGATGTATAAATATATAGATAGAGGATAATTACATGAACATTTGTACATAGATAGATGTTAATAAGTTATAAAGGGAGTTTTTTTTCCCTCATTTGCTTTTTCATTTTACGAATGAGACTGTAAAAATTCGATCCCTTAGTTGCTTTCCTGGGCAATTTAGGGTTGATGTAATAGGTGATAACTAATAAAATATGTTTAAAATAAAAACAAATAAATAAAAAAAAAAAAAATTGGGTACAACAGTAAACATTGTTTTATAATCTTAATCACTATAAAACAAAATTAAAAACTCTCTCAACAAAGAAAAAACAAAATGGCATATAGACACGTTATAGATAAAGTTCATGAGCGAAAATTGAAGGTAAGAGTACGAATTGAACACAGCAACATTACACAACGGCAAGATGTATAAATACCGAGCCACGCCAAAAATTACCCCAAATCAACCAACCAATAACATAGAGTAAAGGTTAACAATTTACAAAGACCAATAAAAATAGCATTATAACACGCATTTTAGAAGGTAAGCAACGTCAGTACCAAGAATCTGAATTTCAATAACCCCAAGGGCAGTCCAATTTTTTCCGACCTTCATCCCGGTCTGCATTTATTGTAAGACCTACCAATTGTATCTATTTTTAACTTGTTCTCGTCCTGAACATATATAAAAAAGAAGATGTGGTATTAGTGCCAATGAGAAAACTCTCCACAAGAGACCAAATGACACTGAAATTAACATGTAATTGTTACAATGGATTAAGAGTGAAGACATCATAGACAGTGGCATTTTCTGATTTTGTAATAATATTGTAGGCATACATTTTTTTTCAATTTCCGAAAATTTCTTTTCTTTTGACGAATTTATGACAGTATTATTTTCGAAAAAATGTTCGTCTGATCTATTATCTTCGAGGATAATAAATGAGGCACAAACAACGAAACTCAGCAGTTACGGATATACTTTTCTAAACGTGCATTACAGTTACGGATATCAGTCTATACAGTTACCCATATCCTCGCGTTTTTTTGGGGCGGCTGATGTCAACTTTAGCGGTTGAAGTATAAAAAAAAAACTTTGTATTTTTAGTTTCATACTAAGTAATATGTTAAAACAGACACGAAATACCGAAAAATGATACAGAAATATTACAGAATTGACAAAAGAAATATTGACCAGATACATCGTCCGCCATCCTTGGATATACGTAACTGCAGTTACGGATATAACATTTACCCCGGTGATAATGCAAAAAGCTTAAATCAAGGATAAATATTTCATCTAGGTCATATACTTCTTTTGATGATAAATTTAATCGTCAAAGACCCTAAAGAAACTGATCATTTACAAAACTGTCCCTGGCACTTACTCTAAAAAACATAATAAAGTTGCATGTTCAAAAGCGGCCATGATAATAGAAATTTTTATATTCGGTTGATTATACTCGAACATTATAGATAGAAGGCAGTAGGGGTAATGTTAGAAAGAATATGTTATTTTTTAATTGTACATCGGATTACTGTAATTAATCTATTTAAGTGGAAATATATAAACATTTCCATTTTTGTTTCGTGTAAATGAGGGGGGAAAAATTCCCAGCTATTGCCTACCGTTTTAACATTTCGAAAACAATTGGGTAATCAGTAGTTGCTTGCAAATCTATAAATGTTAGCGTTTGAACTATTCATTTTGCCTCTACAATGTGAGGCATTTAGTGTTATTGTCATTTTGTTTCCATACGTCTTCTGAAATAGTAGTAAAACAAACCTGTTTTAATCGTCGCCTCACTGTCACTTGGGGTATTTTGAGATTCGTCCAATTCTATTTTCTGCTCTGCAAAAAAAAAAAAAAAAAAAAAACCAGACCAACAATAATTTTCCGATCTATCATAAGTATATACAAACGAAAATTCAGAGAGATCATAAGATTTAATATTGATGTTGAAACTTCCATATGTTTTTTATTATAGTTAGCCAAATAACATCTTTATTAAAAAAAGAACGCAGTTCTGATTAAATGTGTATTTACGTTCATTAATTAAAGATTATGTAAGTGATAATCTCCTTGCAGTTGCCATTTGTTAATTTATCTCTTATTCTTGACTTATTTGTTGATGTTTGCAAATTGTTTAACTCCAGTGTTTTGATAGTCTACTTTATCTGACATATCAGGTTTGTCAATTTTGAGGTCACTCATCCCCAACACCGTATAAAGTAATCAGAAAGTTAGTTTTTAAATAGCAGCTGAAATTTTGTATGGGAAATGGATATACATGTTTATTTTTGAAAAATTTTATATTCATTTATTGACCCGCTGTCCATCTACCCCTCCGATATTGTTAATTGTGGTTTGGTACCATGCTATGAGGGCAATGTAAGAATGGATTTTACCCATTCTTTAGTTGTCAAAAAATAATTACCTGAGTTCTCAGTCAGCCCTGAATACAATGGGTAACTAGGCATTTTGCTATTAAGTTCACATCGTTTGAGTTTTCATTCAGTACTCTACGAGTAATATTTCTGTTACAATTATACTTAAGCGGCACGTAACTTTATTTGAAGTCACAGTAATACATCTACACTCTGTGGTCTATTGCAGTTGCAGTGATAGATACTCGAATTATGTGAATTCAGTTTCTTTGTTGAGATATGTATGTATGTTATTTGTTTTTTCAAATATATATCAATCTAAGCATGTAGCCCGTAATGTCATTTTTTATTATTTTTTTATTTGTATTTATTGTGGGGTTTTTTTTTTGTGTTTTGTGTGTGTATATATATATATATTAAATATTTCTTCATTCATTGATTTATTTTGATTTTTTTTTACTTTGGGTAACCTCATTGTAATTACTTCATCAGTCGTTCTGGGTCTGTTTACATAACAGGTTTAATTAATAGAAAAGACAAGACAATATCTTATTTAAATCTCACCTCTTCATTTTATAAAACATACACATAGTTAATAAAACAATATCATGAAACATACAAGAGCCATTCTAAGAAGAGTTATGAGAGACTATCTAAAATGTATTTACACTATTTACACTAAAATTAGCAATATAAAATACATCTTGTTTTCAATAATATGCAGATTTTGGCAGTATAAAAGTACATATTTTCACCTGTGAATAAAGATATAATTTATCGTCATCAGACAGATGCAAAATATTAACATTAAATAGAGATGCTTGATAAAACAAATAACAACGCAAATCTACATACACTGGACAATCATTTATACATGTTTTTCATCTTCAACTAAAATACTTTCATTACAATTGCTGTTATAACAAATTCTGTTTTCAACTAAAAGACCTTCATATCTTCAAGTCTCAATTTTCAAAGGAGCAGTACCACTTTTAAATTTGGCAAATGCACTCCTATATTACCAGGTATGTCTTTTAATAAATAATTTTCTTCACTAAATTCATTTATGAACAGTCTGTAAGTACGTAGTTTGCTACGTTCGTTTGACATTAAATCATTATACCATTTATCTTTAAATCTAGTAAAACAGATATTCTCAATATCTTTTTTAACATGTTTATCAATAATTAAATCAGTTTTACAAAAATGTTCCATATCAACTTTTTTAACCTTTGAGTGTACTCTGAAATTCTAATTTTTCAGTTCATTATTACATATATTATTTGCCCATATACAAACTTTTTTATTTATTCTATTATTACACATTTTTTTAAATCTACTATATGTTCTAAAAATACATGTCCACTGTTTTACAATACATGGCATCCAACCCATATCACCATATAGGGCTAAATTATGTGTGTACTTTCCAACATTCCTAAATAACGCATTGCCCTGTTTTTTACATTAATGCCAAAGTATTCTTTACTTCCCATATGGCAGCAACATTTTCAATAACAAACATAACAAGAGTGTCGAAAAGCTAAGTAAAAGTAGAATACTCAAAACCACCATTTGCTTTGCATTTAGAAATATGTCAGCCTTATAATCTGCTGGCTTATTTTGCTACAATTTTCGCTATCTTATTATAATTCAAAAACTCATTTATTGATAAGCCAAGATACATATATTTTGATACAATATCTTACTGGTTTCCTTTCATCATGAATTCAATTTTTTTTTGTCACAGATTGTGTTCTAAAATAAACATTTTTTGACTTGTCAATATTTACAACTAAGTCATTTATATTAAACCATATACATAAAACATCTAATATTCCTTGAAGGTCATTTTCATTTTCGGCTAATAATACTAATAATATACAAATCTTTTCACCATTTACATTTATACCAATATCTAATCTCTGAAAGTTATCAGTTAAGTTATTTATGAAAATATTAAATAAAAACGGCGCAAATATACAGCTTGTTTTAGGCCAGAAATTAATCCAAACTAATCAGTCAAATTACCATTTATCTTGACACAAGATTTAACATTATAATATAAGGAATGTAAAGCATTTATCATTTGGGTACCTAAACCTAACGATTCTAATTTACAAAACAACAAATTACGATTAACCCAGATATGTGCTTTTTCTAAAACCTTTAAATGCACAGAAATTTGAAAGTTTACAAACTTTTCTCGATTCAATAATAGTAGTTAAAGATGATAGATGGTCTATGGTACTACGAGTCTTTTAGAAACCATACTGTTCGTCGTTGATTAATTCAAGATCGGTAAGTTTTCCTGTCAGACGAGCATTTCAGACGCCACAGTATAGTTTATATGCCACTGGTGCTAGACTTATCCCTCAATAGGACATCGGATCTCTGGGATCTGACGTGGATGACTTGGGGATTGGTGTAATGGTACATTTATTCCACATAGCTGGCACTTTACCGGGGTTATAACATATATTTAAAAGACTGGTAAGCGCATTTAATGATGTAGGATTTTTATATAATTCAACTGGAATATCACCAACGCCCATCGATTTGCCACATTTTGATATTTTTACTACTATACATTATACACTTTGCTAGTGTTAATTTCACCATCTAAAATTTCATCACAAATAATATCCCTATTACAATTTTCTATTTCATTACTATAGCTAGTATCGCTATTTTTATTTAACATTTCCTCAAAATCACATTTCCATTTATTATTAACTATATTTTTATCATTACAAATTGATCCATCATTTAATTTAATTTCCATTGGAATAGTATCCCTACTCTGATCTTGCCAATGTTCCGTCAAAATTCCTTTGTGTTGAATGCCAGTATTGACGTTTTGATCTTTGGACCCTCGGTCAAACAGTTTTCGTTTTTGAACAAATATTTGACGAAGTTCCCTTTTCTTACTACTTAGACGACATTTATTCAAATTTTTCTCCGCATTACAAACACCATTCCACAACATAGTAAGCTCGTCAATCTACCACGATTTTTTACATTTTCTAGCTTTAATGTGAAACGCATTACTGATACGAATTTCTTTACTTGGTAACTTTTCGGACATTTCGGTTTTCAATACAGATACAAAATTTTCATACATTTTATCGATATTTTGTTGTGAATCTTCAAAGTGTTCTAATTGCAATATCACACGATTAATTTCTGTTACAACAGACTCTTCACGAGCAATTCTTCCGGTATACTTTTAGTATCATATTTGATTTTCATAGCATTTTGATTTTTTTCATTATTTTTACTGACTTGGTGTTTAACTGCTAAATGTAGTAGCATATTCCATGTCAATAGTGAATGTTCAGGAACTTTTTTACGAAGATCATATCTACCGGGTTCGCCAAGACTTTGAATTATAGTAGTAGCTCTTGTTACGCTTAAGAAGTTAAATGAATCCAACATCTCGTATGGTAAAATACAGTAGTCTACTACACTGGAACCGTGTATTAAGACAAATGTAAAGTCGTAATTGATAGCTTTCCGACCATTAAGTATACAACAGTTAACATCAATTAGAAAGTCACAAAAAATGTTCCCATATCCGTTTATCTCAAATAGACTATATCACGCTCTGGTAAGCAATCTATTCCTTCGATTGAATCTGAAAAATCAGAACAACGGCTGTTAAAATCACCACACAGGTAGAACAAATTACTTAGTGCGATTGTGTATATATGTGTCATTAATGTTTCCATGAATTCGTGCACATTGACTGCTCTAGTTGAGTTTTCTGGTGGCAGGTAGACGACATTAAACGTAAAACATATTGGCATTACAACTTTTATCTTTAAACTGCACTCTTATATGGATATTCCTTCGGTTATGGCCATACCAGCAGTAACCATTCACGTTTACAGAATTAGAACCCATCAGTTGTGTTTCGGCAATACCAAGTATATGTAGATTGAGTTCCTTAATACAACAATAATACTTGTCGCTATTTACATTAAAGTTCCATCCGATAATGTTCCAAAATCCGCATTCTACATAATGACCGCCACGCCCACTTTTGTAGTGTTTCTCTAATCGATTTCCACCTCGGACACTGTGATATCCCTGTGTATTGTAATTTCGATTTTCATATTCTTCATCCATTGGTAGGTGATCCCTTGGTAGGTGATCCCTTTTTTTTTTTGTTTTTCAATACGACGTGCGTTACTGTCGATTCTGGGTTCACGAAATCTTGACTCTCGAGTTCGGACTCTGCCTTCTTTTATTTTCAGTCTTTTTTCACCAATTGCGTTCACAATATTCTTTAAGTTGTTATTCAGAATCCGTAGCGACTTCGACAAATCATTTTCAATGAATATATCTTTAAAGTTTCAAGAATCCTTCAAATCGCGCTTTTTATTCATGACTTTTTTTCGTCGTTTATCGATTTGTAACTGCAACTTCTTCTTCGTATTTCCCTTCTTTGTAACTCTTCTTACGTCTGCAGATACCTCTTTAACGTCTCTTAAATGGAGACTATCTCTAATCAGAGCGTTCACCTTGTTTAACACATTATCTCCGTTTGACTCGGGCATATTCCTAACAATAACCCGTATACCCTCGACTGTATTTGGTTGCTGTTTCGCCAACTTTGCATAGGTCTTTTCTATATTTTCAACTTTGTCAGACACAGTTTTTAATTCCTTTTGGAACTGATGTTTTACTTTTTGCATTTCTATTGAAATATTACTATCAATCAATTTCGCTATTGTATTCGGGATTGTTTTCTCAAGAAAGATTCTTTGAGTAATCATCTGACAAAAACTGTTAATAGATCCTATTAAACCAACAACTAGCGACTTTAATTCACTAAATTCACTCGAGGTATGTTCATTGATACACATATAATTATCTTTACACTGTGTAGACTGTGTTAAGCATATAATATCTTCATGTTCATCATTAACTAAAAATTTCTACTTTTTCGATGTCCCATCAACAGACTCGTTTGATAATCATCTTTTATTTCGTGATGGTGTTTAATCAGACGTACTATTAAAGTTACTTACAGGTTTTTCTGAATGAATTTCTGCTGTAGTAGTCACTTTACTCACATGAACGGGTGTTAATACCGACTGCACGTATGTATCTGTCAATTGAGGATTGAGGTGATCAAAACTTGAAATGTTCAAATGCTCAATCTGTCCCGTGAAATAAACTCAAAATTGTTCCTCACGTCAAAAGTGTGCTCTAAAGCTTGCAGATAATATATTCCCATGATTCAAATAAATTTTTAAATGCACTAAAATCAGATGTATTTCGCAACAAACAATAAACACTTTTGAATGTTTTGGCGCATGCGTATTATTTCGCGGAGATGCTTCTAACACCCATTAAATTTAAAGCAGCTTGGGGACGGTCATCGTCCGTTCATATTTTTGCTTGAAAGAAACACGACACATTGATGCACTACATAACTGCGGTTCAATCAAACTTACATTTACAGTGCCAATGGATCTGCAACAAATGCACAAACGTCTCTTCAGTGACGTTTGAGTCCAAACAAGTAGGAAATTGAACATTGAAAAGCTTATAAAACAGAAAAAGAAAAGAATGTGTCCAAAGCAAGATAGCAATTTTGTAAATGTTGTTTTTTTAATGTGTATCTTAGTTAAATACCAATGTGACTATGTCCTGAATCTTTTTAATTATCCCTTCACTAATGAACTCATCAGTACCAGACTAACAATTTGGTACACTATGCAAGCGTTGCGTTTATAAAAGACCAATGAAAATCGAATCAAAATAGTTGGAAGGCCAAATTAATAACAAAGTTGAAGAGAATTAAGATTCCAAAATTCCGAAGTTTAGCCAAATATACCTAAGTTAACATATGCCTTTGGTACACCATCTTTAGTAATTATACCATAAAATCCGTCTGATCGTATGGCGTATAACAAAACAAAACTTGCTCCAACAGGAAGAAAAATGAAATTTACATCACATAAACTTAACGGTCACCATCACAAATTAGTTACAAAACGACATGTTTGCGTCTCAGCAATACGTCACATGTTTTTGTAGTCTTCAATCAATCTTAAGATACACGAATAGACCTCAAATCTGTAATTGTTTCCTACTATCGACTATGCCATTTGACTGTATTTGTATGTACATGGCAAGTGATGCATTTTATGAAGAGATGCCTACCCTGTTCAAAAAAAGGTCCCACTTCTTCTGGAGTTCAAACAATTCCATTAGTGTTTGCTTGGTTTTTCTTTTTCTTACTTGATATGAAAATCGTTATACTATTGGGGACATGTTTGCATGTATTTCAATAGCAATATTAGCGTATATAAACCACTCGCGGAAATTTCATATTGTACAGTATATTTCTTTCATAATATGTTTTGCAACCTACCATGTCCTGAAGTGTGACGATTTGCATCTTTTCCTTCTATTATTTTTTTAGATGTTTGTTTCGTTTTAATTTTTGGTCGCCCTTAAAAATATGTATTCATATATATATTATTTATATTATATATATAAAAGTCGACAGATTAGCGCAATGGTACAAGCTGGTGATATACGATGATTATGTTAAATAATCGCGATGACAAATATTTGGTCTGAAGAACTAGCCATCTTCGGTATAAATTATTTTAACAAGTGTTCAAATTATTGACACTGACGAGGCTATTATACCTTTAAATGTCTTTAAAGCAATGTTTCTGCTTCGTCTTTAAGAAATAGGGAATTTTTCGTAGCTTTCCTTATAATCCCTATTTAACCAGTAATTATCTGAAACCGACATGTTGATCAGAACAGCACTCGACATGCTTCAAAGACTGATAATTTAATTATTTAGTGATATCCGTCTTTGAGAAAATTTTCATACTACTCCACACCGGTTAATTCAGTACTGTTCAGACAATTACGATTTTATATCTTTTCAGGGTTATGTATAAATCTGTTAGGAGTCTTGATTGATCTTTCAACATTATACTGAATTTCCTGAAAGCGAATGAACAGCGTTGAGTGTAAGCGAATTGTCTGAATAATACTGACTTGCGTATAGGATAAGTTAGAAAGTTGACAGAAAGACTGAAGTGACAAAATAGCTTATTGTTCAGATTTATTTAGATAATGTAAAGATCAAATGAGCATTTCGGACTTAATTGTATGCAACTTATACATACACGGACTATTTCTTACGAAAACTTACGGATCGTAAACTTGTAGTAAACCGCAAGCATCCGTAAATAACTCGCCACAACTCGTTGTTTCACACAAACACTTTAAACGCATACATATCTCGCATCAACATGTAATCACCATTAAACTTAATACGGATTATGTACTGATGTTTAAGAGCAATTACGTGTTGTTTAAGTTCCATTCGGGTGGAATAACGATGGCTTTAAGAATTGTAACGAGTTATAACGAGCACTTTATTATGATTACTTTACGAGTTGATACGTATACTTACGTTTTGTTTACGATTATCACAACCTCACGGTATCTCTGAGATATCGCCACAAAAAAGATTTAACACCACATTTTATAGCTAGCTAATCTTCCGACTTATATGCCAATTCTGTATAGTTTAATTATATAAACAAAATTGGGTAAGCAATTCAAATGGACAAAATTGTTTAACATGGCAGTAGTTAGGATCTAGCAGCCACACCTGTGTAAACATAGATCTAAGACACACAAACAGAATAGACTTAATCCTTTAAACAAACATATATACGACTAAATTTAACCAAGGCGTCAACAGAAAACAGTTTTTGTAGTTGATAATACAAATAGCATAGTATACATACGGACATAATATACGCTTTTCCGTGCTTCTATAAATTATCATGTTACGGAAATTATTGCAATGCATGTATTTACACTTCACTGCGTCCTTTTGTTCGAGTTTGTTTAAACATTTATGACATATAATTATAAAAAAAATCATATAATGGACAAACATTTCAATGAAAACATTAACTGCAAATTAACAGATTAACTTTCGTGTTGGTATTGCCAAGCTTCGTCAAATGGTAGGTTGATAAAGATCAAAATACACATGTGACTTACATTTTTTTACAAACTCTGAATTATATTTCGGGAATGGAGAGTTTTTTGCTATAGTTCATTTACATTCATCCGGACATTTCGCCCAGATATTGCCATGGGCTCTTTCTTAAAAAGTTATTACCCATGGAAATAATTCTAAAGGACGTAACGCGATACTGAATTAGTTTAAAAACTTACATAAACGGCTGATACTGGATTTTTTGGTTTAATTGTGATCGCAGTTATACAATGAACACCAAAAATCTACTTTTTAATAATTTGGAAGCCGTTATTCAATTGTATAATATAGTGTATCGATTTCTCAAACATTCAACAATATTATCCACAAATTCGTTTTCCGATGCAAATATTTGCTAAATTTCTGTCACGGATACGGTATCCGAGGGGAAAAAGATACACTATTTTCCATTGAATGCCCTTCCTTTTCTGTGCATCTACAAAGTTTCAGATGCGATAACTCTTTTGAATTCCTTTATAGTATTGAACACATTATCTTTATTCAATATGACAGTAGAGAAAAATATATTTCACTTGAGATTTGCTTTTCATTTTACCGTTTAAGATATGAATTCCTTGAAATTTAAATGTGTTGTATTTTGATTTTGTACAGGAGAAGTCGTTTTATTGGAGTATAGATAACGTTTGAATAAGGCTTCTGTTAAATATAGAGAGGCGTTTTACTAAATTTTAAACATAATCAGATAGCATTTTCGATTTCCTTCACTGTTGTTATGTGTCTAATGGCAAGTAAAACAATTATATCGGCATTGAAATTGACGGCGTTAATCTTGAAATGTTTAAATGAAATCAAAAATTGGTTTTCGAGTTAAGTTAGAAAACAAAAACGAATTCTGAAATGTTTTAATCACGCGGTTTCTTTTTAAATTTTGCATCCTTTCTGAAAATATGAAAAAATGAAAAGTATTTTTAGTTTGGTTGTAAGTTGTAGATTTTTCTAAAATATGCATAACATTTTTTTTTCGTTGTTCGTTGTTATGAGCAAAGGGAAAAAGGTCGGGTTAAGAATAGAACACATTTATCTTGTTTGAATTTTTTCGATAAAGAATAATTTATTTAGAACGGTTTGAACTATAGAATCATTAATTGTTTCAGGTATGAGTTATAATCGACCACACCTTTATTAGTTTAATTACCTAGAGTGTTAAATACCTGGAAATGTATTTTAGTTGTGCCATTTCATTTTATCAATGATTCTACATCCAAGAAAACCATAACAAAATGAAATAAAATTCTTAAAATGTAATAATCTGAAGATAAGTGTTTTTTTTATATTTAAAGTTATATGAAACTTCAAATAAAATTATTTATATCTAAATGGCTAGCTTTTATTAGATAACTTATGTTTATATAGTTTTTTTGAATAAAATTCTTCAATTTGTCTAAATTTAGAAGGCAGTAACTTTTTTTAATTGTTGGCTTGGCAAGTGCAAAGGGGAAAACCAAATTGGCAGAGAGAGTCAAAAAACGTAAACATCGCTCCGTCATCGAAATAAACTATATCGTATTGTACATGTTATACATGTGCTTACGTCAATATCCATGCTTAATTCTTTGTTGATTGTTTATAAAGGTGACACTCGGTAAACTTCGGCTTCAAAACACGACAATTATTTAGCTGCCATATTTTCATATCAACACCGACCGAATGAAATATTTTTTAATGTTTATACGATACGGATGCACGAAAAATGATAAAATTGTACACATAAGACTTAGTTTATGATAAATACATGTATTAATTCAAGAATTGGATTAACCATTATTTTTCACCAGTCACTCGTTTCATATGACTTTAAGGTGTATTTTAATTTGTCGAAAGTAAACAAAAATGTCCATTTCTTGGAAAATAATGGTGTCAGCCTCTATAACATCAACACTAAATCCTGGAGCACGTGCAAAAAACTTGAAATGATAGGTGTAATAACACTGTTGTTTTTCTCCTATTAGTCTGTGTTAAATTTGCATTTTTCTAGAAATGGAGCAGAATTTATCTTTGCTTTAAATAAAGAAATACTTGACACGAGTAACGTTGTATCCTGTCAAGTGCTACAGACAAAATTTCACATAACATTTCATTGCATGCACATGTGAGATAAAAACAAACCCGTCTCTGGAAGTTAACCAATCAAATGTTCACCCTTTTTTCCCTGTGTACAAGCTTTAGTAACCATGTAACCTCATGGTTCCGAAATATTCTATAGAAACACAACATGAACAAAAATTGGGCTATGAAACTCTCAAGATAGATGTTTATGACTCAGAATTGATTTTACTGCAACGAAATGTAGAATTTATTTCCTGTAACTGTCGTTTTCAAGGGAATATTGTGTTCGAGTCTTTTTCGTATTACACCTTATAGACATGCAATATAAGAGCATTTATTTTTTGTTATTTGCCGGACCATTATAGTTTTTCAACCAAACGCATATCGTCATACCCATATGAGTATATACTTATATCGTCCGACCACATGCGTATGATCCGGGTAATAGACGAATAAATACTTTCTAAAAATACGATTGTGCCTCAATCAATCATATGGTGAGCATTGTTACATGATTAATGAAATATTGAGATTATTACGTATGGTCGCACCATATGAGAAAACGCACATGGTCATGACCATACACATATGGTTTAAATACTCATAAGGTCTCGAACAGTTATATTTTCCATGCATTCTTGTTTCTTAAATAATTTTAAACTTTGTTTTAACAGTTCTTAAATGATTTGTTCTATTATCTTTTTTTTTTTCAGAATCGATTATCACTTTCTTACTTCCACGTTCGTTTATCAATTCTTTCATTATGGTATTTGCCTTGCATTTGCGCTTGTAGGTTGCAAATTACTAACAAACAGATATAGCTATCGGTAAATTAAAGTATGATCATGATGATAATTCAATAATTCATCTGCAATACATTTCTGATGATTTTGATAGATAAGTCGACCTTAGCGGTTCAAGTATATAAAACGTGTTTAACTTTTTTTTAGTTTGACTTATAATATGGTTTTACGTTAAATATAAACAAAAACAGATACTATAAAACACCACGCGTTCGAATAGTATCTCTTAACGCATCCGCATCAGTAACACCCAAACCCATAACCCCGAAAGCTAAGATACGAATACCGACCTATTTAAAGAGGACCAAACATCCGTAAGCTGGATGCATGGATACCGATCCATGTCAAGAGAGAACATTTAAAATAAAATAATAAACGTAGTCGGCACCTAGAATCTATATTTAAACATACACAAGATCATCTTGTATTATTTAGACACTAAATATATATTTACATGATTTATCGAAAGAAACTAATACGAAGGATGTTTGGCGAAAAATAGGAAAACTAGGAATTGAAAAGGATAGGCATAATACAATACCGACGGCAGTGCGCCTATCAAATAGTAACATCAGCAAGGATATAAATATTGTGTATGAAGCCTAGAAAAATGAATACGAAAATCCATATAATTGTAGCGACATTTTCTTATTCTGTAACTCACTATATGTAATTTTGTTTAATATTCTCAACATCACTATCTGTATAAATCAATTTCTGATACAATGGTAATGAGTACCACGGCACCGCTATAAACAAGCAAAAAGATAAATGTATACTTTTTCATGCATTTACCAAATGGTACATATTACTATTCACATTCATTTTGACATTGTGTTATGTTAGGGGTCAGCAGCTAAATGTTTGACAAAAAAGGTTAAAATAAAAAAAACCTTAGCATCATTTTTCTTTTCATGATCAGTAAAAGGGGACAACTTTTTTTTGTTTTTGATCTGAATTTGTTGTTTTGCATTTTGTGTGTGTCGTTAAAGGCATTTTTTTAAACAGACCTGGATTATCTGTCAAATTAGTGTGTTATTCTTAGTTAATTAATAGATAAATATCAATTTTGTATAATAAAAATCTAATGTTATCCAACTTACCAAACAAGAATAGCAACATAACGATAACACATCCTAAAACAAATTAAACATACATTTACTAAAGTATATCCAGTACACTATGGAAATGCTCATCTGAATTATTTCATTTGAAAGACTAACTGAAAGATTAATTTTCAATCGACAATTACAAATGTATACTGTATTAAAACTTACCGATTGCCGTCGAAATCAAAGCACTTGCAACATTCCTGAATATATATGTTAAGATATCTGAAATGGTAATACACTTGTCATGTAAAACTCAGTAATCATTAGTAAGAATAAAAAAAAACAGAAGTAAATACAAATTTTATTTAATTTTGCTATGTGAATACACTTAAATGATTACTTTTACCTGTTTCTAAGGAGTAAACGATACCTAATAGGAAGTTATTCCAAAATGCGGAACTCATGATAGGAATTAAGTAAAAATCAAATATTATCGCAAAATTGTGTTCACATGCACAATATCAAAGAGGATAATCTGACATTTAATTTACGACTTGTAGCGAAGGACATAGATAGACAATAATGTATGCAAATGTATACACCATTCGCCCTACAGCATGGCCATCGTATTTAAGCTTGAGTTCAGCGTCTCCGTTGCAACTCCGAGTACTATACATTGTTTTCAGTCGTGTATCACCTTCACTGGTGTTCCAATGGATGGATCTGTCGTAGAGATGTCACAAGACGTACTTATTTCTGTGACTGCATCTTACAATCCTTTACGACTGATAATTTAGCTAATCTGCAATCAATTCCATCTTCATGCTTATATATCATGTACTGTGTTACAACTCTAGTTTCTACTGACGAGGAAAGGTAACACTAGTCCACCGAAAGCTGAATTTTTAGTTCAGTTTAGGTGGCTGAGTGGTCATGAGCGCCGGACACAGTGCAAAGCGGTGTTGTCCCGATATCCAAATAGAGTTCGAATCATTGTTTTGCTCATATTTAGATTAAATATGGTTATATTATGTGTGTTCAGCCGTTTATCACCTTCACTGGTGATCAAATGGATTGATCAGTCGTAGATTTGTCACTGGATCGTTACGAGTAACGATACCTGTACACAATAAATAGCTTACATGTGTATAAACAAAATGTACTAAACAACACCAATATTAAACAAATGTCTCGCCTTCTATACTTACCATTGATATTTTTTTGACAGTCCTAAATATAAAGCTTTACTACAACTATCACATCAATTCAACATCATCCAAGAAAATTAGGTCAAGGTCAGATAAACCAAACATGAAATACATGTACACCTTACAATCATGCCATACACCAAATGCACTTTAAATATAGTTGACCTTTTGCACATCGCAGAAACAAATTTAACTAGGAAAACTTAACATTGAACCATGAAAATGAGGCCAAGGTCAGATGAACCCTGCCAGGCAGACAGGTACACCTTACAATCATTACTTTCTTTAAATATAGTTAAGCTTTTGTATATAGTATCTAAGAAACAAACTAAAAACTATTAACTTAAGATTGACCAGTGAACCATGAAAATGAGGTCATGGTCAGATGATAATTGCTAGACAGACATTTACACCTTACTATCATTTCATACTCCAAATATAGTTGACCTATTGCAAATAGTATTAGAAAAACAGACCAAAAACAACAATTTTACATTGAACAATGACCTGTAAAAATGAGGTCAAGGTCAGATGACACCTTCCAAATGGACATGAACACCTTACAATCATTCCATACACCAAATATAGTAGACCTATTGCATTCAGTATGAAAAAAAATACCTAAACAAAAAAAATTAACTATAACAACTGGACCATGAAAATGAGGTAAAGGTCAAACGACACCTGCAAGTTGACATGTACACATAAAAATCATTCCATACACCAAATATAGTAGACCTATGGCTTATAGTACAGTATCTGAAATATGAACTTACCACGAAAACTTAACCTTGTTCACTGATCCATGAAATGAGGTCAAGATCAAGTGAGAACTGTCTGACGGACATGAGGACCTTGTAAGGTACGCACATACCGAATATAGTTATCTTATCACTCATAATAAGAATTCTAAAAATCTTAACTTTTTTTCAAGTAGTCACTGAATCATGAAAATGAGGTCAAGGACAATGGACAAATGACAGACGGAAACTTCATAACATAAGGCATCTATATAGAAAGTATGAAGGATCCAGGTTTTCTACCTTCTGAAATATTTAGCTTTTAAGAGTTTAGCTAACACCGCCGCCGCCGCCGTCGCCGCTGCCGCTGCCGGATCACTATCCCTATGTTGAGCTTTCTGCGACAAAAGTTGCCGGCTCGACAAAAATGGAAACATTAAATGTAAGTATCTATAAATAAATCGGATAACAGCATGATTATGATGTAAAATGAATTATACCAATATATTCTGATTTAACTATTAACAATCTTTATGTTTATACAATTAAAACCGAACAACTCTTGTACAATTCTTAAATAAGTACATATCTTACCTACATTATTTTAGAATTGTCACACACCAACGAGACGAATTGAAAACAACTATCACTTTCCTTTCTTAAAATTAATATTCGCCGAAAAAATGGTGGGTTAAACCTGGTTTTAAAGCTTGCTAAACCTTTTGTATTACATTTTTTTATAGTTCTGAATTATGAAAAAAACATTATGAGCAACCCAGACATACATAACAAGTTAATGTTGCAATTGTTTGGATCCAGCAGCCAAAAACTGAATACGGATACACCACAGATATACAACACAACTGACTAAAAAATTGAAACAAGCATACACATAAAACTGAAAAAACTCCAACAAAAAAGTGATTGTAGTTGATAGTACATATCGTATAAAAAATTAATCTGAAAAAAACGACAACACAATACGTGTGTGTACTTGATAGAAAAAACAGTATACTAGAGCAAACTGCCATAATAGTATACCCTTTCCTGATAAAGATTAGATTCTATAAAATGTAAATACAAAGGAAAACAACATAAAAAACACAAATTGAATATTGATTAACTCACATGCAACATAAAGCCATTAACTCAAAATATTGATGTTCTAATACCGATCCACGTCAAGTGGCATACGACAAAAAAGGAGCATAATGTACAAAGAAAATAAAAGAGAAAATTGTCAAGTAAATTTAACAATACACAGATTTAGCACCAATAATTTATAATTCAAGACAAATCTCATATTGTTTGTGAAGTACACACTAACTTTACTGGCTCATCAAAAATTACAATGTAAACTATAGTCCGAACAACACGAACCTTATAAACAAAAATGAGTCTATATCATATATAAACTAAAATACCTTAAATCTACTAATGTGTTTAATTAATACAACAACAACAATAATATACACAAACAAACACCAAATCCATTCTATAGACTAAGTATAAGCATAATTATATGACTCAAGACAATCACGGACACAGTTCCAGGTTCGGACAGACACAAGGGTACATTTATAAGTGGGGTTTTGATTTTATTCGACCCTCCATTTCTCATATCTATCAAAGAATAAGTTAAATGTAAACAAAAATGTTTGCAATAAAAATGAGTACATAGATTCCTTTAAGGCCAATTAATAAATTTGTCAAACGAAGTGACTTTCTGTAAATAAGAAATCAAAAGTTTTCAATGACGCAATATTTTATTATCACTGCAATTAATCAAAAACAATGACGAATAAAACGCTTTATCCTTATCGCCATTTTGCTCTTGATAACAAGAGCGTTACTGAAAAAAAAATGTAAATCCAGTACGTACCAAGGAAAAAAAATACAACCCAAAAAGAAACTGACAGCACTATCACTAAACAAACAAAAATCTAATCTGCTACACTGTGAAACAAAGTCGATGATGTGTTAAACTCGATACAGCCTTTTATAAAGATCTGGCTAAACGCAAACATCATTCAATCAATTAATCGATGACGAGTTTCGTTCCTTAATGTAACAATATCTGGAAATATGATGAGATAGTACCTACAAAAAGTACAGTATCAGTTAATATTACATATATAATCCGCAATGATCAACCGTATATGCATATCCTTCGTAAAAAGTTCGAAAATTGAACCTAACAGTGTGAGTGTTTTACACTGAACTCACACCATTAATACACTACAGCGCTAATAGCTTAGCCTAATGTCTAGCCCTCTAGACCACTCGACCACATCCGCCATCTTAAAATATAACTGCAATGGTCATAGTGTTACCTTGTCACGTAAGGCGAATATAAAGATAGACATAAGACATGTGTTTAAAGCGTGTGTAGATGTTATATTTTTATACCAAATGTTTTTTTTATTGTCAGCAATCTAACTCAACAATTTGTTATACACCATATGGGATAAGGATTCAATTCACTATCCTTGCCGAAAAATAAGCCTAGCGGGAAAATATTTGCAGCAAACTAGCAGCAAACATTGCCGCAACCATTTTATCTTGCAAATGAAGGTTGCGGCAAGCTTGCTGCAAACTTGCCGCAATTGTTTGCTGCAAATGTGCGGCAAACATGCAGGAACTACACATATGCCAATGTCATGTGTGTAGAAACATTCAATTAATCTCTTTCAAATTGAACATCAAAATTTGAAAAAAAAACGTCCTGCCTATAATATACAAACAGTCATTGAAAGAATACTTGCAAACTAATGAGTTTTAGGGAAATACATAGATGCATTTCATTTTTGAAAAAGGGGGCAGGGGTCATTCTCAAAAGATATATCATATACCGGTATAAAGAAATAAAAACGGGTAAATCTCAGATCACGGTGTATTGAGCATAAAGCTAGGTAATAATTGCGTTACAGATTGAAATTAACTTTATTAAACAGTTTACATTACATCCGTTGCAAAATTCAAACTTATAATAGCTAGAATATTTCAAACATATAGTTATATAACTGAATGGTGACTTTAATTATTTTATTAAATCAACAGTTCTATACAATAATTATTATATGAACAATTTGTACTTACAATATTACATATGGAAAATCCTATATTAATGAACCAAAATGACTCCTTGATCTCTTATATAGGCATATATGTCACATTTATCAAACACAATCAATATGACCTAGCCCAGAATTTCAAATTGTAAGCATCCAGGAAGTGCCAACTAGGCATGCCCAGTCAATATTGTGTAATTCTTGCAATGTTCTGGCATACATATAGAATGGTCAAAGTTTTCTGCAATCTTGCGGCACACATA